GTCTCTTTTAAGTTTTAACGCATGTGTGTGTCTACCATCGAATTTGATGTTATGTGGATACGGATTAATGGCTTGTTCTAATCATGACAGGCTATACTATACACATACACATGATCAGATGATCTTAGTTTTTATATCATGGCTTATGAACTCTGTGTCTAGACAATGGTTTAATAAACTCACTACTTGTTTAATTGCCTATGGTTTTACCCAGTCTGTAGCTGATTGTTCCCTGTTTACAAAATCCAATGAATCTTCTTTTATTGCTCTATTAGTCTATGTTGATGACATTATACTTACTGGGAACTCATTACCTGAAATCCAAGCAATAAAAACTCACCTTGATAACTGTTTCACCATTAAAGACTTAGGTCAATTAAAGTACATTCTAGGTTTAGAAGTAGCTCACTCAGAAAAAGGGATTCACCTATGTCAGAGAAAGTATGCCCTTGACATTTTATCTGACACAGGTTACCTTGGTTGTAAACCTGCTAAAATCCCAATGAGCAGTACTTCTAAACTAACAGTTGCTACTTCATCATCTACATTAGTTGATGCATCTGCATACAGGAGACTAATAGGGAGACTTTTATACTTAACTATCACAAGGCCTGACTTATCTTACAGCATTCAATGTTTAAGCCAATTTATGTCTCAGCCAACATCTGATCATTTAGCAGCAGCTCATAAGGTTCTCAGGTATGTCAAAGCCACTGCAGGACAAGGTATTATCCTATCCAGAAACTCTTCCTTATTATTAAATGCTTTTTCAGACAGTGATTGGGCTGGCTGCCCAAACACGAGAAAAAGTATTACTGGATATGCTATTTTTTTGGGCAATTCACTTATATCCTGGAAATCTAAAAAGCAAAATACAGTTAGCAAATCCTCTGCCGAGGCTGAATATAGAGCCTTAGCTTCTACTGCTTGTGAGGCTCAATGGATTCTTTACTTACTCAAAGATTTAAATATCCCTCACACACTTCCTGTTTCATTATTTTCAGATAGTAAGTCTGCCATCTGCATTGCTCACAATCCTGTCCACCATGAACGTACAAAACATATAGAAATAGATTGCCACATCATCCGAGAGAAGGTTTCCAAAGGCATAATTCAACTGCATCATGTTCCCTCTGAAGAGCAAACCGCTGACATTCTTACCAAGCCTCTGTCTCATTCAGCCTTTGTTCATCTGTTGTCCAAGTTGCACATGTCAAACATCCATGTACAACTTGCGGGGGGTATTAAGCATAAGGGCATTATTGTATTTTGTCATGTAATTGTTGTGATCAGAAATTAAGTCGTGTTTGTATTTGTTAGCATCTTTAGTTCAACATCATGTAGTATAAATAGATAGATTAGGGTTAGGATCCCATTATTCATAATTCCATTTTCTGTATTTTCACAATTCTCCGCAACACCACATTTTCCCTCTTCAGAAATAAAGCTTTCCTTTCATTATTCTTCATTTTTTCTTGATCTATAATTCAATAGTTTTCTTTAACAAAAGTAATATTAAATTAAGAAATGGGGAATCAATAAAATGGAAATTGAAAGCTTGAATGGGTCTTTTAATTCCCTTTAAAACTCCCGATTCATGCCTTTAATGTTATAATATACATTTTTAAATTTCAATTTTTGGATACACCAATTCAAGTGCCGGGTTATCGGGCACTTACATAAAACATATATTAATAGTAAAAGTTTGAGTAATGCTATGGAGCCAATTGTTGCCCGTTATGGAGCCAACAACCAATGTGACAGCTCCATGTGGGGCTGTCCCACATGAGTCTAATGTGGGGCAGCCCCACATGAAGTTATCTCATTGGTTGTTGGCTCCATAACGAAGCCAACAGTTGGCTCCTTAGCATTATTTGTAAAAGTTTAGTCATATTGTATAAGCCTTCTAATGGAGAATGTGAAACTTAAGCTGGAATGTGATTCTATTTCCAATGGTCCAAAACAATTATCCTAAGTTTGAGATGATAGCACTTATGTGCATAATTAATTATTATTTGGAATAATTATTAGAGATTAACTAGCATGATTATAATTTATTTGACTAGCAAACATCAAATGAATTTATAAACATTTGCTTATGAATAATAATGAAAGAAGAAGGGACTAGATCATGGATAGGTCCCATCCAAAGAACTTAATAAATAAAATAATTATAATCTGGAGTAATGGAACAGTAAATTGAAATTAATATATGTAAATAAATACAGAAGGAAATGATCTTTATTTTATAACTATAACAGTAGGTCCCAATGTTGGTTTGTTTGTCTTTAGAGATTGACTTTTTCTTTTTAATTAATTCTCAGTGTCAATCAATGTCACGAGCAGTAATTTTGGAAATTGATAAGATAGTTTTACTAAAGTAAAGGTGATTTTAATTTTTTACCAATCATTTTCAATCAGTACACCATTATTATTATTCTTTCAAAAGGAAATCTTCAGAAAATGATAGCTTCTTGGTCATGTAGCACATAATGCAATATAATTTATTTGTGTAGAATATGAGACAATTTTTTTTTTTTTTTTTTTTT